GTGGCCTAGGCAGTAAGAGAGTCACATCCCACATGGCTGACCACAGTTTGAATCCTGGCCCTGCCGGCTTCAAAAACACACCCAGCAGGTGCATGCCTCGACCCCGGCCGGGATGGGGAGGAGGAGTGACTGGCATGACCACCTTCCTGGGGCACCTCCTCTCCCCGTTTCTCTGGCGAGTGCCACGTCCTCTGGCAATTTAAAAATAAGTAATAAAACAGGGTCTAGGAGCTGTCTCGGCTCCATTTTGCTTCTGCTGCCTGTTAGTCATTGCTGATCTTTTAGCTTCACGCAGAGAACCGAAACTTGCTATCCTGCCCAGCCCTTGGGTGCCCTGAACAGAATCCGCACGTCTCCTCGCCCTCCTGACCAGGCCTCTTCATGGTTCTGCCCGAGATGATGGACATGCTCCGGATGTGCCCCACACCGACCCCTTCCCCATGGAAGTCTGAATCTCAGCCGGGACAGCGGGGAAGGGTGTGACGCTGACCCGCTCTCTCTGTGCTGGCCTCGTTACTCACCGACTCCTGCCTTTAGAGATTGGTCTCTTTGGAGTAGCGTGGCCCCAATTCCTGGTCCTCTGGTCTGGGCCCCCGTGACTGCCGTGGCACCAGTCCGGGTGGCATCGGCACAGCACTGGTGTGTCTAGGACAACGGACTCCTTTATTCTGCTGCAGGGGTTGTGCTTACAATCGAATCGAATCCAGTTTAGCTTGACTTAAAAGGAGAAGAACAGGCTGACCCAGTAGCATAGTGGTTAAGTGTTGTGCATTGGGTTCCGTACGGCTGACCGGTTCAAATCTCCACCCTGACGGCTTGGAAAACATGCCAGGCCTGTGAACACATGTGTGCAAGATCCTAACAGGGCAGAGAAATGGAGGAGAGGGACCGCAGCGCCCACGGGCGTGCTTTCTCTCTGTCGCTCGCTTTCTTTGGCAAGCACACACACCTTCTGACAATAAAAAAGACAAGATGAAACAGGTGTCACAGACGTGACGGCTCCAAGGAAAGGGTGAGAGCCATAGCAGATGGTTGGGGAAGGGGAGCCGGCTCACCCAGCCACAGGGCCGGCATAGGGTGCGTGTGCTTGCCAGAGAAACAGAGACAGAAAGCGAGAGATCACCCCCGAGGGGATGGCCATGCCGCAATCCCTTCTCCATCAGGCGCATTTCTTTCCCCCTCAAGCTGTTCCTTCCCTTCCTACGCAAAAGGCCCCCCACCATGCCACAATCACACAATGACAGGGCCTCGGGCTCCGCAGGGTGCAGGGGCCTCCTGGCGCTCGGGCTGGGGAGCAGGCCGTCCCAGGCCCCGCGTGCTCTACGTGGAGGGCATGAGCTGCATCGGCCAGGCAGTGGACCGGGGCCTGGCGCGAAGTCTCCTCAGTCATGAGAGGTGGCCTGACCTTGAGCAAGCCGCACCCGCACCCGCGGATGCAGGATCGGAACCTCAGTCACGAGGGCGGAGTCGCCAGCCCCGCATTCACACTGCCACTCAGTTCACACCGGCTTCCTGCCACCCGCCCCGGCCACTGTTCCACAGCGTCTCCTGCAGCTCTTCGCACGTGGGAAAATTGGAGAGAACCCCTAAGGAGACACCAGTGTCCAGCGACCAGTCAGCCTCTGTGCCTGCTCAGCCAGTGCTGGCAGAGCTCCTGCAGGGCCAGGG